ACTACAGGTATGAATGAATCAAGGTGGGAAAGGAATCAGTAGGTTCCCTCTCAGCTTCCTTTCAATGACCTCACTAAGCCCCACTCTGATTTTATTACAAAATAAACTCTTTGGAAGCTAGAGGTGACTTAGCAATAAAGAGCACTGGCTGCTCTCTCTGAAGACCTGAATTCGAACTGCAGCACCCACACAGCGGTTCACAACTGCTTGTAACCCCAGTTTCAAAGGCTCTGACTCCATCTTCTTGCTTCTGTGGGATCTGTATGGATGTGGGCACAGATATACATGTAACCAAAGTACCAAACACACACTATAAGGATTTGGGGTTTTGCGGTTGTGTTTGAGCCTTGTATGTTCTGTTGACTGTGTAGGCCAGGCTAGCCTAGAACTCATGGAGGTCTCCCTGGCTCTTCCTTCCAAATGCTGGGATTTAAGGTGTGCACACCAGCACACCTGGCCTGAAGGCCTATGGTTTCTTAAAATTTAATTAAAAAAAGGTCTTTTTCCACTCCCTTCCTCAGGTACACAAACTGTCACTCTCAAAATTAACTAAATGAAACTGTTTCTTAAACTAAACCCTCATAATTCCATACATTAATTTTTCATGAACTGATTAATTTTAAAGAAACAATTTTAAAACATTTAAAAGAAATTAAGCCCAGACTTCTTCTGGGGATTTTTAAGTGGCCCACCTTCTGTTGGAATTCTTTCTCAGGTTTTATAGTAAAAATCAAAATAGCTTCAGGCACATGGAGGGTGAAATAAAGACCTGTGCGGCCTGGAGGCCATGTTTGAAGCTTGCGGCTATGAAAGCGTGGGTTTTGTTCATTTTTTTTATTCATGGAGATAGTCATCTCCTTCAGGTTAAAAAAACCACAATTACCCCCTATTAAAACAAAATAAAGGATCAAATGAAAGTCATTAAGACCTTATTAAAGAAATTTTAATAAACCAATTAGTGCTCATGAATATGATAATTTCTAGGGGAAAAGGCACCCTTTGCCTGAAATAAAAATAAAGTATCTCTTAAATATATTTAGTGTACATCATTAGTTATTTAAATTTCTTCCCAACTGAATCAACTGTCAATTATATTCGGAACAGTAATAACTTTGTACTGATAAAAGGATGCTGCTGAATGATGTAATTAATGGAACATTCCCCCAAAAAAAAACAATTTTATTACAGTTTACTATCAGAAGTAAATTAGTATGCCTCTGTCATGTAAGTTAAAATATCCCAGTTACCAGTTACAATGTTTTTTTAGTTACTATCAGAAGTAAATTAGCATGCCTCTGTCACGTAAGTTAAAATATCCCAGTTACCAGTTACAATGTTTTTTTAGTTAACTTCTCATGGCTGTTCCACAGTTTTTTTCATGTGTTACAATTTGGTATCGCCCTGGATAATGTAGAATTATTGGTAAGTTACTGTGATGAAATTACCCGGATCAGCTGCAAGAGGTGAGACTCCTAGTGCTAAACTGATTACTGTTTTTCAGAGGTATAAATATTTCTCTGCCATCTACAGGCAGATATGTCTGCAGATTCAGGGCATATAATGTCATTTAAATAGTGCCTTCCTGTTTGCACCTGGATTTCCTATTTGTCTTGTGTCTGCTATTTTATTCTTTCAGTTCATTGCATCATCTTGCTAGCACTGTAATGCTTTAGAAGTGCTCGATGCTCAGTGCCCCTGGCATCCTGCAGGGTCGTGTCCTATAGTTCCTCACTACCTGGGAAGCACCTCCTGGGTGCTAGAGCACCTTCTGTGTGCTACAGGCTGGATGCTGAGTGTGTTCTGCACTTTTCCAACACACGTGCCTCCTATCCTCTTGTGGGTGGAAAGACAGCAAGGACAGATGCATCTTGGTCAGTTGAGGCACAGCTAGAGAGGCGTGTAGAAATCCAAAGTGAGGTGAGCCCATTGGACAAAGGGAAGGGACATGAAAAGGATGGAGAGAGACAGCAGGGTATAAAGGAAAGAAGGTATAACAAACAAAACCACAGAGTTTAAAGAGCTAGAAACAGCAAACGCATCTCACACAGTGTCTAAGGGTCAGGGATCCAGCAGCAGCCCCATTCTGTAGCCCTGGCTCTGCTCATTGGCAAGACTCAAGTCTCCAAAAACTTGGGTGGAAGTGGAGGACCTGCTTACCAAGTGGTGTGGTCACGTGAGCTTGTTCAGTGCGGGTCTTCCTCTCCACCGCAGTGACCTGTGTGTGGGCTGCCTGTGGTCCTGGGGCGTGAGAGCAGGCTGCACTGCCAGGAAACGCCCCAGAGTTCCCCATCCGGGTGTGGGCTATCACTCTGCCATTCTGCTGTTGGCCACAAGAAGCCATGGAGTCCCCTTCTCTGCTGTGTTCAGGCTCTGGCTGCCTAGCTTTGTAGGGACTATCAGACAATCTCTGTCACAGCCTAAACCACCGCAGAAGAAATGAGGAAAGGAAAGAGTAGAGAATTTGAAAAAATCCAATTCTCATTTACTCAGAGAGGAGGAGACCAAACTATCCAGTTTCCTACAGCAATCTCAAATCTTTCCCTCCGGTGAATTCTATTCATTCTCTCTCTCTCTCTCTCTCTCTCTCTCTCTCTCTCTCTCTCTCTCTCTCTCCCCCCCCCTCCTTCCCTCTCTCCCTCTCTCCCTCCTTCCCTCTCTCCCTCTCTCCCTCCCTCATTTTTTCCCTCCCTCCCTCCCTCCCTCATGTGTTTTTGTCAGCACAACTGTGGACCCAACTTTTGCCTAATTTCGACCTCTCTCAATATATTAACCATTGCGTCAACTATCTCCAGAAAGTAGTGATTCTTCCTTCAGGCTTCTACTTGTGTTCAGATAATTGACCCAAACTCACATTTTGAAAGCACCTCTCAAATAGTTGGCTGGGTTCCTTCCAGAAGAGTTGTACTGTTAGACCCATTTTTCAAACTCTTCAACTCATACCAGGGTGGAGTCATGGTCCTTCTCAGGAGAGGTACTGTAACAGGTCTCAGATGCTCATGAAGCTAGGTGTAAGACGGGCAGATGCAGACCACAGGCTTTCATAAGTTCGCCGGACTGGGGCATACCCAATAGAATCAAGTGGAAAGTTCGATTGAATAGGAGCTAAGAGACCACCCCATGCTCAAGTCTGGACTAGTCTAAACTAAGAAATTAACAAGAAAGATGAGGGAGACAAAACAGTTCAGTGAAGACATCTTCTCCTTCGTCTTCTCGCTTCTTGTAAAAGATTAGTCCTCATGTTTTCCCTTGATTTTTTTTACCTCTTCGTCCCAACTCTTTTTTGGTCCTTAAAATAACAAAAATGTTTATTATTTATTATTATTACAGAATGACTTATATGTAAAAAAATGTACATTTTACTATTTAGTTACGTTTTGCTGTAAAACATCACCCACATTTGAAAACACTCCCTTTCAGACTTGAATTTGTCTTAATATTTTCAATCAGGAGCTGGTAATGAAAGTGTTCATTATCATCTGTCACCATTGTTTACATACAGTGCACACCAGTGCTTTCACATGCCTTTCTGAAAGGGCACCCTCAAATACTGAGATGAAATATAATTTATTTTAATGTTCTTTTTTAAACTGAAAGATCTATTGTTTTGCTATGCAGTGACATAGTGACACTACCAATGAATGCTGGTGCGCATTTTGATTATTTCAATGATCAGAATTTAATAAAAGATTTCATCATGGATGAATGAACAGGTTTATCTTATTTTTCAAAATGATATAATATGTTAATATTTCTAGTATCACAACTCAGCCCCACTGGAAACATATTTTCTACACCAGCCATTTGCCACTGAATGTTTTGTGTAGTCGATGTGAGAAGAGTAATGAGAACAAAAGTCATACACAGAGCACACGGAAAATCATTGATGGATAAAAAGGAGGGTGATTAGACTCTTTTTTGGAAGAGACAGGATGACAAGTTATTCGTGGACAAAAACAGAGATAAATATGCCAATGGGCAGCGAGGTCTGGTTCAAATCCAACTGTGTTTGTAGAAACCGGTAAACCCGACAGCTGAAAGTTTATCTTGTACATAGTTTTTATAGTGCTGTGTAGTCACTTATTTCATTAACCATCAGATTTGTGTGATCAGTGGCTCTGTTTGGTAGAGCACGTGGAATGCGAGAATTAATCAAAATGTTAATAACAATGTTCTGACCCCATAGATGAGATATTTCGTCTGGTTGAAATCCTGCAAGCCCCTTAAACACGTAACCTGGAAGTCACTGTCTGAAGAACAAGGCAGTCCTTCCTCTGCATCCCGGTAGGAGTGACTCCAGCTTAAGCACAGACATTTCCTTCTATTCAGAACAAAAATAAAATAGGACAGTTATTTTAGAAGCATTTTTAAACAGCAGCATAACATAGAGACAATGCCAGTGACCCCATCTAGAGTCAATTTTGTTATTGTTAATTCATGTTGTAAAACCCAAACCATTCTGTGTGGTCAAACATTGTTGCTTTTGTTCTGTCTCCATTCATGTCTGTTATACTCAAACTGGTGCTCCCTCTTTAAAAAATATTTTTAAAGATTTAAAAGTATTTAAAGATCATAATATAATCATTTCTCCCTTTCCTCCCTCCACCCCCTCTTATGGACCAACTGGCCCTCTTCTCTTTCTAATTCATGACCTCTGTCTTTAACTGTTGAGGGCAGGCTCTAAGACTCATGTGCTTAACCTGTCCTATCTTTTATGTTTATGGTGTGTGTGTGTGTGTGTGTGTGTGTGTGTGTGTGTGTGTGTGTATGCAGCACACATGCAAGTGTCACAGAACAGCTTGTTGCAGAAGTCTGGGTCCTAGTAATTGAACTCAGAGCATCAACCTCAGCAGCAAGCATCCTTACCTACTAAGCCATCTTGCTGGCCCAGTGCATACTGTTTATTTACCCTTTCCAGCCAATGCTGTTAACTCCAGTTAGAAAACCTGGTTGAGATGAGAAAGAGCGGTACCATTCAGTGGCTTTCCTTGTATGTCTTCCAGGAGTCCTGTGGAACCTCTCATCATGTGATGCACTCAAGATGCCAATCATCCAGGATGCCCTGGCGGTGTTGACCAACGCGGTGATCATCCCCCACTCGGGCTGGGAAAACTCACCTCTTCAGGACGATCGGAAAATACAGCTGCATTCATCACAGGTGCTGCGCAATGCCACTGGGTGCCTAAGGTCAGTCCCTTCCCTGTTCACCAGGGTCCTGGTCCAGGAACTTTTTTCTGAACTCAATGACTGTTTCCAGAGGACCAGACTGTTCTGCTGAGACAGATGTTGGCATGGCAAACACAGAGCTTAACAAAATCATTTGAAGAGGAGGTTTCCACAACTCTGGACCCACACAGTGTTCAGCTGAGTTAGCTTGCTGCTTATATCTAGAAAATATCAGAGTCCCATCTCAACCGAAACCAAGTCCCTTTCTTTCACTGTAAACAGTAGTTTACAGTAATTTGACATGACATTTTACATGTAAAACACCCAGGCAATTGCTTGGGGAGAGTCCATGACAAACGTATAGGGGTATAATTAAATACCACCCGGAACTACTTTTATTCCAATTTTCCCACTTAATTCTTTGTATGTTTACAAGATTCCTTAATTGATTAGAAATATCTCCTTAAGGAAGCCTCCTTTACTTAGAGTTTCTCAAATAATAAAAAACTTATAAGCATCTATAATCTTTTCTACTGTATTTAAACAAATCACCACACAGAAATCTCTGTCATCTTCTTAGCATCATCTGTGAGCCTCGACTGACTTTTAGGAAAGGAGGGAGGTACCAAACAAGATAGACGGTCATCTAAAGTCAGCATGTGCTCCTAGGGAAGGTTTGTGTTAAAGTTGGAAATTTCTACCAGATGGGGCTAATTATGGGATAGGAGCCAAAGGGCTTGTTGAACATGCCTAATCAAATAATATGTATTTCAAAGCTAAAATGTTGAGAATGGCTTCAGCTGGGCTGCCACGGACCTACAGTTTCTCCAACAATTGGTCTGTTTCTAGCTGTAGTTATAGTGTCTGCTAGGAAGGAACAAGAGCATGTCAATGAGAATTAATACTAACCATCTTCTGACTCTCCGTACCAACGCTCGCAGCCCTGGCGTTGACGGCATCTTTCATGGGTTAGGTACGTGTAGAGTAAGGATCACAGTCATCACCGTGAATATCTTCACATACTTGGAAACAGAGCGGGAATCCTGTGAACACTTTTCATCCTCCACATGGCATATGAACCTCTGGCATGATTTTTCTGCCACAAGCATGAGTCTCAACCACAAGCCGGATTTACGCTTCCCCCCAAATCGCTGTTGTGGCGTCCTTTTATGGCTGCAGTTCTGCTGTGCTTAGGAGGCCCCACTCTGCCTGCAGAGCTGTAGCTCCTCCAGTACCGGAGCCTTACACAGGCTGGACAGGGAGGCGACCACTAAGCTGCATCTTTCACCCTGCTCACAGTGTATTCTCCTGTTTTTTATAAGCTCAGTAAGTTTGTGTTTAGGTAAGTTATGAGGCCACTCCTGACTTTTGACTCATGCCCTGAGTCTTATGCAGAGCTTTTCCAATTGCCCACACTTGAGAGGATGCGTCAAGTCATTTGTCAAGCCCTCCTGAAATAGTGTGTAACAACCAGCCAAGCAACAAATAGGCCGCAAGTCCTATGGGTTGGTTGACTTAATCTCCTTTCCCTTTGTCTTTTGATGTTTTTGAGACAGGATCTTACTCTGTCATCCAAGCCAGCCTAGTATAGTACCTGCTTGTGGCAGTCTTGACTCTGTCTCCTGAGTGCTGGGAATTCAACATTTACCGTCATGTTTCCCCCTTGATTTCTTTGTGAGCATTTACTGAGTGGTACTTGCCTAACTAATAGACGCTCTGCCTCTAAACATCAGCTGTTCCTTCTTCTCTCCCTCTTGTTACTTTCCATCTTCCTGAGGTCTTTCTGTGCTTGGATGTGAGCCGTGTCCCTACGGTCATATGCTGGGAACTTGGTCCACACTCTGAAGATGTAGAGAGCCGGTGGCAGCTTTAGAGAAGGGGCGTGGCTGGTTCCTGGGACGTTGTCTTCATAGGAAACAGCTCTATCCCCTGACTGGTTCCCTGAGACAGATCCTCTCAGCGAGGGACTGGAATCCTGTGCTATTCCTGGTGCCTTCTGCCCTCTCCTACCATGATGATGGATTTGCCTTGAGGTCCTCACTAGAGAACAAGCAGAAAGCATCACCTGACATTGATCTCTGAGCCCCCAAAACTCAAAAACATTTCTTTTTGTAGAGCCTTGGACGGTTGCCCAACAAGCCCCATCTGAAATCTTCATTTGAAACCGTGTATGCCCTCAAAAATGACATGTAGATATATATTTTGGACGATCCTAGGTACTTGTGCCATGTTCCTCTATTCTGTGACTGATAAGTTTAAGATGAGTTGATATTTTAGGCTTGTCTCTGAAACTGCAATTTAGGAATACATAAATAAAATGAATAGAAAGGAAAGTAAAACTGTTTTTCTGTCACGGATTTTTCTAACCTAGCACAGCAAATGGCAGGTAAAGACGTATCGGACCATTCTTAGCCATCATGACTCTTTGTTCATAGTGTAATTCAGACTTGTTTCTGCTACTCCAGCATAAGAAGCAAGACCAGGAATGTAAGCAGTTTCCATTATCTTCACCATTTTACTTTTCAGAGATGAATTCAAGTTTAAGAATGTAAGCCACACGGCTTCTCGCTGTCCAAACGCTCAACAGAGAAAAATTCAAGTAAAATAAGTTTAATTTTACAAGCCAAAATCTGAATGTCCAGAACCATATTTCCTTAGGCAACTCATGGCCTTGGCTGACAGTCTAAGTTCTTGTGTGTCCGCCAGCAGTAGATGTTCACTGTTTCCAATGGATGGCCACTTCTGTCAGGTCTGGACGGACTGGTCCATCCCTTCCTGAGAAGGGGAGTGTGGATGGAGGAAAAAAATAGTCAAGAGACAGAAGATAGAGTCAGAAGAACTTCCAGTGAATACTGTAACAAATAAATCTCTGAGTTTATTACTCATAGTCCTTATATACTCCAATCAAAATGGGAGGGCACCTGGCTCCCATGATACAAAGAACAAGCATGCGTAATTACCTCCTTATATCTCAAAGCACCCGGTAATCACGCCTTAAGTCAAACATCCTGTTGTCTGACGTTTGAGGAGCAAAGCATCCAGTAGCCACACCTTTGGCTGAGCGTTCTGTTGTCATCCTTGAGGAGCAAGAACAGGTCAAGATGGGAGGGATTCAAAACTGGGGGCCCTCACCACCCCTCTGCCCTGATCCACGGAAGCTGCACTCACAGAGCGCTCTCCAGAGAAGAGCCCTTGGCCTCCACCTTCCTGAAGAGGAATGAATCGTCTCCTGTGGACACAGCCAAAGTTAAGCACAGATGATTTGTAAGATGAAGACGCAATGCCCTCAGTCCTTTCCATTTAAAAGTCATTTTGGGTAGGAAATGGAATTTTTCTCGGGCAGATCCATCTATTTGTTCCTGAAATGCCTGTTTATCGCTGATAAAAATAAGATAGAAATGGGGGCAGGGAGATCTCTTAAATTTTGTGGAAGGAATCAGTTGATAAGACAGGACAGTAGCTGGATGGTGGGATGGGATAGAGGGCCTCAGAGCCATGCGTCCTCAAAATGCAGGGCAGGGTAGAACTTAACTCTTCTCACTGCCTCCGCCATGTCTACCCTCCTCATCCCAAATCCAGTCACCCTCATCCGTGCTCATTTCTTCCTGTTTTGCAATGCCATCTTCTGTTCCAATTCTGCTATGTCCAAACTTTATTTTTAAATAAAAACCATTTTTAAAATATTGTCTAAAACAAATGTGACAAGTATTCTGTTAGTCTTTTTCTTCCTCCTTTCATGATGCAGAACGCCTCTGGGGAAATGACTTCATGCAGACCAGGTCAGACCTAGGAATAGATTTGGTTTTGCACTGACAATTGTTTTGTTGAACACCGTGTAATCAAATGTGTCTCTTAACCTTTGGCCATGGTAATGATCACCTTCATCTGGAAACATGTATTAATAGACTGCATGGGGCCAGATCCAAACAGTCTGTGAGCAAGTTCTTGCTGGCTGAGGTCACTGTGGTGGCTGAAATAAACATTCCTCCAAAATCTTTGTCCATCTCTAACCTTGGAAAGTGACCTTTCTTGGAAATAGTGTCTTTGGAGAACTCAATAGTTGGATTAGGGTGGGTATACGTGTAATAGCACCCTTTTAAGGAGAGATGTGTGGAGGGAAAGGCTTTGGGAACAGACAGGAAGACTGGGGATGCCTAAAAGCCACCATAGGAAAGGCTTCCTAGAGCCTTCAGTGTGAGCATGGCCATGCTGGCGTCTGGATTTTGGATTTCTAACCCTGGGAGGATACATTTCTGTTGTTTTACACCATGAGTTTTTTGAGATTCTACTCTGGCAGACCCAGAAAAGAAATGCATATTCCATAGTTGGAAACAGAGGGGCCTGCAGAGCCAGGGGGCACCCGAGGACACAGGATAGGGAAGAAAATACGTAAACCATTGTTCCCAAATGGTCCTCACAAACTGGGACAGAATGACCAAAGGGGGACTTGATTTTGTCTGTGTAAAACTGGTTGCCTCTATAGGTAAGGAGCAGAGGCATTACCTATGCAGGGGTGAGGTCTGCATGTCCAGATGTGATTGCCTCAGACTAAGGAGGTTTGCCTCCAACCCCCTTACTAGACATGCATGAAGGAAGAGACTTCCTAGGTGAGTGTGTGATTTCTGTGTGCCCTGCTCTTGCCCGGGTGTCTTTCTTCACTGTCTCTCCTGATGCTCTCAGAGCAGAACTTGGATTTGCAGAAGACTCTGTGCAGCCCAGAAGTCATTCTGGGTTCCTATACAGGCAACCTTCTAGGTTCCCACAGTGCACTCCAGCAGCAGTGTGCAGAATGAGTGCTTCCTGAATCTTCTGAGAAAGATGACTGTGTTTCCCATTTAACATGTATAAATCAATACCCTAAAGGCCCTTGGCATGGCCACAATCATCATTTCAGAATGAGCTGTAGGCGAAGGCTTGATAAGCGGCCCTTTTTTGCTCTCTTAAAATCCAGCCACTAGCTCAGTGAGACAACTCAGATACGTTCCTCTGAGGCTGTGCTGCTTTTCGCCGTGGGCACTTAG